TTTCTATTCTCCAATTTATTTCTTTATTATGGATGATCATAAGGATCTTGTGTGTTTTACATATGCCTAGAATTTCTGCTAGATAGCCCAAACTTTAGTCTTCTTTAAATTCATCCTCATTTCCTTTCGTTCCTTCGTCATATTCCTCTAATAATCCACATGTTCCTTTTTATATGGCGAAGCGAGGCACTGTACTAATGATTCCCACCCCATTTCGCACCGATTCTGCCATCTGTGTTTACAGCTCAGGGATGAAACACAAACAGGGTACCAGCGTAACGTACATAAAGGCTTGCTTGTTTGGAAGATCTAAATGGCACTTCCAGTTTTTCGTTAATTGTCAGAATTCGGTTGTGTTCCTCTCCATGGTGAGCCAACAACGCCAAATAAACTGCATATGTTAACACACGGAAGGTTCAGGCCCCAGTCCACTTCAAATATCCTAGCCAGGGATATTCATTGTTTGTATCTTTAAAATTTCTGAAACATTTAGAGGCCAAATCATAAATGTAATCACCAGTAGGTTGATTTGCAAGTAACGCAGCACTGGTTGAAATATCTGGAAAAGTTGTCAGCTGCATAGCTGGAGGACAGCGTTGTGAATTAACGGGTGTTCCCGGTATTTTAGTGTGGTAATTATGCAGAATAAACGCCTCATATTGAATGACAAACTAAAATTGAGACCCAAATTTCTAACAGTTGTCGTTGTTGATGAATGAAAAAAGCGCTTTAGGGAACATTGATTTTATTTCAGATAATTGCTTGAAATTTATCAATGCGGGTATCGAAGATGGCGGATCAGTGCTCGTCCACTGGTTATTTTTTATTGTTTTTACTTTTCGTTTTTTTTCTGATTCGCTCTGAAAGTAAATTGAATGCAGCAAGTCTAAAATAGAGATTATCAGTAAGCTGCGCGGTTTTATGCGTTTTCGTATAAAAAAAAATGGCTAATTTAAGTGAAGCCGGTATGTCACGTTCGATTTTTGTAATTGCGGCTTATCTGATGAAACGATTTCGATGGACAGCAAAAAAAGCCCTTCACCATATACAGCAAATACGACCAGTGGCACAGTAAGCTATTATACAAAAATTCTTTTTTTTTTCTTCTTTGATCATCTCTTTTTCGTTGCGTTTCGCCCTCCTCAATCCTCGTCTTTTCTCAAAAAATCAAAGTACATATATTCTTTGATTGCTCATGCAGTAGGTTACCACAATGTGATGAAATCTGGTCCTGAAAAAATGAGTAATTACTGATTTTCGTGAACCCGGAAAATCTTATAATTTACAGGCTGGCTCCACTATCTATGCAGCTGGCAACATTTCCATTTGATAGCAGTTTTCCATTGATAAAAACCTTGTGTTTTCAACACCAGTAACACTCCTTACGAATTGAATTAGTACATGAAAAAACATAAAAAGGCATTTTAGGAGTAAGTAAAAGTTTCAAAAACAGAGCAGCTCAAGATTAGTGAGTTATTCATCTACAGGAATGATCTTTTTATTTTAGACCGAATGATGGCTTCCTGCAACAGCTGCATATATTTGAAAGCGCAAATTATGAAGCAAATATAGAATGCATTAGGAGACACCCTTTGTACAGGAAGTGGCTTCTCTCATCTTCTTCGGCTGATACAGGTTAAAAGTTTAAGCAATTGCTGTGTTAGTAATTTTCATAAAGAACATGAATTTTCGTGGAACTGTTAGCGGAGAAGTATTATAGCTGGTTTATAAGAAAAATTCAAATTAGCCATTGAGTTTTTGGCCAGTTAAATCTATTTTAAACAGACAACACAAATGAATAATGAGTTAAGTTTGGAATTAAACAGAAGAAAACTGGGGCCAGAACCCACAGGCTTGCCAGTGTGATCATGCGTTTTTGCGCTAGGCTTGCAACATTCAGATCGTTAACAGCGGATATGGTTTTTGCGTTGTGTTTTAATATGGCTACTCATGTTAGTTGTGTTTTGGGTTTTTCGTGTATACAAGGAAAAAGGGCATCGGCTGGGATGGTAGTGTTGCATCACGGGGCCGCGTGAACCTCCAGCGTGCATGATTTTTTTCAAATTTTGCATAAAGCCCAGCCATTTTTCTGGTGAGCGGTCGTTCATCGAAAATTGCAAATTTGACAATGCATTTGATGTGGAAAGAGAGGGTTTATGAAATCCGCAATATGTACTCGCTTTTTGAGGCATTTGTATGAGGATCCCTGGCATGCTGCAATGATAATATTAAAATGGAGGGGTCGCGCATGGGTTGGACGCATACTTTCGAACTTTCAGCTTTTTAGCTTTTCTAGTTTTCGAGTTGAAAGTGGGTGACAAAAAGTGCGAACACAAAAACGCACACACATACACACACGTACACATCCACATACACAGGCAACCTCTTGGCAATATACGTTTTTGCACTTACATAATATGCAAAGCGCATATAAAGCCGTATGGATTGCTTTCACCAAGTCCCGAGACATGCTTCCCAGCATTGTGGAAATGGCACTTTTCAGTACCATTACGTTGCCAGTTCTGCTGAAGATAAAACATAAAATACCAGTTTTGTTAAGGAGAGAGAATTGGCGATGGATTTAATAAGCAGTGGAGCGACGTATTTTAGATACTAGCAGTTGCAGCACATTTCCAATGAAGTACCAATCTAGTGAGCGAAATTATTTAGAAAACGCATGTCAAAAAAAAGAGTTGTTTAGTCATTTGACGAGAATGACAGGTAACGATGTTAGAGCAAAATATTGAATTATACTCATATAGTTCTTAACAGAAGACAGGAAAGACCGTCAGTGTAGTGGAAGAATCCTCTTGAACGACTATGTAAAACTGTGTGATTGAGAAAATTCCAAAATTGAGAAACAGAAAGTTGCTTCATTGTTAAGAAGGGAAGCAACGATGAAACAACAGCTGATCAAAATAGTATTCATTCACTAAAGCAGTTTAGCCTTGCCGTAATTTAAAAATAATGCTTGGGAATGAAATTATCAAGCTAGTGAAATTTGCCAGATATTTCGAGTTGAGACGCCTGTAATGGATGAAATCTTTGATAAAAGATGAGTTCATTATTGCAGTGTGGGGGGAAAATAGCGCTGATTTGAGATTATGTGATAATCCGTCATAAAAATTGCAGTATCAGGTACGTCACAGCCTTTTTCGCTCCGTGCTTTGGCTGTGGATGAGGATAGAGCAGTTCAGAGAAATGTTCAATATCGATGCCGCAAGTGTCGAAGCACGTTGTTCTATGAAGACCACATAGTGAGACATACGGTACTGTCGAAAAACGAGGAGGAGCAAAAGGCTACATGTAGCTTTGGCTATCTACTCTTGCCAATGAAATGGATGAGCCTGGAAGAATATCAGGGCAAGGTGTGAATTCGTCAAACTACACATTCATTTTAGGAACTGCTGTATTTTTAGATCAGTTGGCTGTTAATCTCCCAGTTTTTCTCGAAAAATTTTTTTTATTATGTGGGGCGTGATCTTTCCACTTTCGCACATCAGCGATCCAATTGCAACCACCTA